TACTTGCAGCTCGGTTAAATAGCTTCACATCATTTGCGAAGCTGTGGTAGCGTGAGAAGTTCTTAAATGGCCACTATGTTGTTGAGTGGGTTTGGTCTCTGATTGTAAATATTCAATTCTCTCTAGAAAGTTGTGGACTGAAAATGAAAAGCATGTATGAATATATATGCGCAAATGTATTACTCATTCCACCGGCGTCTCTCAGGTGTCTGCTGTGTTAGGCAGTTGCTCTGTTACTCATCTGAAGAGCTGTGTGGACTGCATGCTAGCGTGGGGATAGGGCGGGGCCTAGACTTGAGGGCTGGTGATGCCACTCTAGATAGGTTCCTTGGGTTGAGAGACTTCACCTGTCGGCTCCAGGTCCCTCCTTTGTAAGTCCCCGGTTGATAGTGATTTTGGGGATGGAGCCTGCCAAGCCCAGTAAGATTTAGGATTGTAGGCAGTGTGGGAAGGGATCGACTCCTCAGGGTGCGACTCCTCAGGGTGCGAGCTCTGCGGGGCCGAGTTTGTATGGAAGCGATGTAATTCGTCCATCTGACGGAGTGTGTGTTGCTGAAGTCTACCTCCTGTGCCTTGCTTGTGTGGATGAGCCTGGACAGAGCAGTTGGACCCGGCCTTAGCTGCCAGGCAGCCCGAAGGTCAGGCTGGAGCCATCAGCCGGTGACCCAGTGGAGAGGAGTGGGAACTAGGGGGCCACAAAGTAGGTAGTGGTTGGCTCTTCCAGAAAGAGAGTGGAGAGGGAACAGGTGGCAGCAGAGTCTTCACGGAGGGAGTGGTGTTTGAGGTGAATCCCGGAAGCCAGGGGTGTCGAGACTCAGGATGCAGGCGTGACAGGCTTTCCAGGCAGCGGTAGGAGCACGGGCTGATGGCTGGCAGGCTCAGCTGGGGAAGAGTGCTGTAGCTCAGTGCACCCACAATGTGGGTGCTGGCTGGGGAGACCCGGGGCAGGGACCAGACTGAGGGGCCAGGGACACTGCACTGGGCCTGTGCTGGTGGTGGTGGGGGCTCTGTCCGTGGGAGGTGAGGAGCACACAGAGGTCTTCAGCCGCATGTGCACGTGTATGGTGTGGCTGATAGGACTGTGTTGCACGTTGTTGTAATAAAACCCTCCTTATGAGTGAAGATGGAAGAGAGTGGGTGGGAGGAAGAGATGGTGGAGAGAGGGATCAACTGAATATAATGAGAGTATTGGAAGGGAGGAGGCTGGGATGACTCCTGCCTGCCTGGCCTGGGTACCTGAATCCCTGCTAAGATTTTGTAAGTGGTGGAAGATGTTTAAGTTTGTCTTCTTGAATGGTGATAACTTTTCAGAGGTTTAAAGAAACCTGTTTACTTAATGAGGGAAATTTAGAGCATCCATCCACCCACCTGTCCATCCACTCATGCACCCACCTCCTCACTCATCCATGCCTCCCTCCCTGAGGAAGTCTCCACTAATGGGCCAGGTGCTGCTGCACAGTGGCCCGTGGGGTGTGGAGGAGCAGAGAGCTTCTGCTGTGAGAGCCAGCGTAGGGACGGACTGAGCCAGGGGCTGGTGAAATGCTGCACATTGCTTGTGAGATAATAAATAGTTAAGATAATTCAAACTTGATTAAAAAAAAATTAAGGGCCATGCATGGTGGCTCACGCCTGTAATCCCAGCACTTTGGGAGGTTGAGGTGGGTAGATCACTTCAGGTCAGGAGTTCACAACCAGCCTGGCCAACATGGTGAAACTCTGTCTGTACCAAAAAATATGAAAATTAGCCAGGCGTGGTGGCTCGTGTCTATAGTCCCAGCTACTTGGAAGGCTGAGGTGGGAGGATCGCTTGAACCTAGAAGGCCGAGGTTGCAGTGAGCTGAGATGGCACCACTGCACTCCAGCCTGGGCGACAGAGTAACACCCTGTCTCAAAAGAAAAAAAAAAAGCAATTGATTTTTGTTTATATTTGTATCTTAATATTAGGAACAATGAAAATATACAATATACATTTCAAGTAATGGATGCTTTCATTTTAAAGTTTCTGCCATGTTTACTTTTTGCTTTACCACGTGTTCCATTTTCTTTCAGATTTTTGAAAGGATCTTGTTTATATGGGCGATCCGCCACCCCGCCAGTGGATACGTTCAGGGGATAAATGATCTCGTCACTCCCTTCTTTGTGGTCTTCATTTGTGAATACATAGGTAAGATTTCTCGCAAACATTAAACGTGAACTTCAGTGGACTTGCTGTGTGTTACTATGCATAATTATAACAATATTGAGAATTGCCACTAAGTTTAATGTTATTAATGATAGGTAATATTAGAGAATAATAGTTTTCTCATGGATAACAGCTTTCCAAAATGTCTTTAATCCGCATGCTCAACTACTGAAGACATTAAGTTGCAGTTATAATGATTAATATCTTCTTTTTAACAATATTTGAAGATAGATAATATATTTGGGGAGTGTTGTTTATTCTAAAGGCCATCACAGTACTGACTTTAATGGTTTCAATCAATCAATCTGTCTGTTTATTTTGTTTATTTTGAGATGGAGTCTTGCTCTGTCACCCAGGCTGGTGTGTAGTGGCGTGATATCGGCTCACTGCAACCTGCGCCCTCTGGGTTCAAGCGATTCTCCTACCTCAGCCTCCTGAGTAGCTGGGACTACAGGCATGCACTACCACTCCCAGCTAATTTTTGTATTTTTAGTAAAGACGGGGTTTCACCATGTTGGCCAGAATGGTCTCGAACTCCTGACCTCATGATCTGCCCACCTCGGCCTCCCAAAGTGCTGGGATTATAGGCATGAGCCACCATGCCCAGTCAGTGGTTTGAATTTAAGATTAAGGTGATGGAGTATCAGTCACATATTTTGCTTACAAGCTGAAAATCAAATCTTCTTTAATTGCATTTCTGTGACATTTCATCCCTTTTCTACTTTTGCTATACTAGTAACATTTGGTTTTATGAGAGTATTAATTACTTGTGAAATAGCTGGTTGAACGGCGGTTTCGGTTGGGCTATGTTTTTATGCTGTTTCCCTTTAAGCACTGCATGGTTTTCCTTTATCACAATCAACTGTACTATAACTTAATCTGTTTTGAATATGTTTTTAAGTTAAAACTTCTGATAATAAAAGTGAGGATCTGCTTTTAAATTCATCTATGAATAAAAAATAAATAGGAAAGAGGGGACTTGACTGTTTACTCACAGCATTTTAATTTAAACCCGGGTTTGTCTTCCTGCAAACCTTCCGAACTGGGCGCTTGCCTGTTTTTATTACATGGTTTTTTTAGCGTTTCCAGTTTGTGGTCGGCTTCAGATTCCCATCCTTGGTGTAATCTGGAGAGATGAGCTTTACCGGAGGACAGATTATCCTCCGAGGATGAGGACATGTCCATGGAGTGAATTTTATTGCAACCCCTCTGAGACTTTGTTTCCCTTTATGATTTCATAGGAGGTTGTCTCATTGCTAAGCAACTAATGAGAACTGCCGCGCCTCACTCCCTAATCATCTCTTAAGTAGGGGAGAGGCCGCTCCTGAGGGTGCTTCGCTTTTCTGCCTCTTACCCCTCATTTGCCAGATAATGAAAATGCTCTTAATGCTCCTAGAACAGTAGGACCTCTGTCAGTAGACTTCAGAGTTGTTAATTGAAAGGAGAAGTTCAACTGAGATGTGATTAGAGAATTGATATTCCGTGTTAAATAGACCATTTAATTAATGTGGTAAATAAGTTTGTTTTAACTACTTTACCACCAACTTCTGTTGTAAGACCCAAGCATTTGCCTGATTATCTGCAAGACAGGACGAAGGGGCGTGACCACGATCTTAATTGTCCGGAAGAGAGAAAGACTGGAGAAAATGGAATTTGTGTCTTATGAGTGGTGTCTTCAGATGAGCTCAGAGACACTTTCCTTGTCTTCCTGCGTCCCTGTCCTTCCTGCGTCCCTATCTTTCCTGCACCCCTGTCACACACGCAGGCACATGCACGCATGTATGCACACATCAGAACACAACCACACATTGTGTTGGTATACAGCGTCACTTTCAAACATCTGTGTAAAACATATCATTTATTTCTGTTGGTCAGCTATTAAGTGGACATATAAAAATGTTTGGGCTGGGCACGGTGGCTCATGCCTGTAATCCCAGCACTTAGGGAGGCTGAGGAGGATGGATCACGAAGTCAGGAGTTCGAAGTTCGAGACCATTTTGGCTAACATGGTGAAACCTCATCTCTACTAAAAATACAAAAAATTAGCTGGATGTGGTGGCACGTGCCTGTAGTTCCAGCTCCTTGGGAGGCTGAGGCAGGAGAATTGCTTGAGACTGGGAGGCGAAGGTTGCGGTGAGCCCAGATGGTGCCACTGCACTCCAGCCTGGGCGATAGGGTGAGACTCCATCTCAAAAAAAAAAAAAAAAAAAAAGAAGTTTGGTCCCAGATTTCACATGTGATTATTGCATTTGTAGTCCTTTTTAGATCTTGCTTCCTAGGTTTGGGGAATGTTCATTAGTATAGTCCAAGTCCGTCTTTCATTATGTTGTAAAGAAGCGTTTAACCTGCATGGTGTGCTGTCCAGCTTCCTTATGGGGCTGAAGTTTGGTCATTCACGCAGCCCTTCATGGAGCACCTGCCCTGCTGGTGGGTCTGGTGCAGAGCGCTGGGGTGGTGATATGACTTCAGTTCAATGTAGCCAGTATTGACAGAGCATCTCCTGGCCCTGTGCTGTGGGAGTGGGGCAGGAGAACAAGGAAAGCCTGATCCCTGCCCTCTCAGAGCTTGTGGTTATAGCACGGAAGACAGATTTTAGATGAGTAATTTAAAGTCTTAATTAAAGTAATTAACATTCACATTATCAAGAGGAAGCCTGGGCTGCTGTGAGGACCTGTCCCCTTTTAGGGGTCAGGGGAGGCCTCCAGGGTGAGGTGACGTTTTAGCCATGTCTCACAGGATGAGGAGGAGCTAGGTCGAGGCTGGGCATTCGGAGAGGGCAGCAGGAGGGCCGGCCTGGAATGCAAGGCACAGTGACAAGTAGTGGCACTGGGAGGAAGGGCAGGGCAACTTGGGCTGCGGTGCTCAGAAGAAGCAGCTTGGGGTTGAGTCTCAGGGGCGTGCAAAACCCCCAGCCACTGTGCTCAGGTTCTCCTCTTTGAGCATTCACTCTGGCAGCTGCATGGATGAGATTGGAGGGTTTCTGGGGAAGCTCACAGACCAGGGACCTGCAGGCTCCAGCACCAGCAGAGGCACAGGTCCCCTCCAGAGAGGCTGTTCTGGTTTGCTGAACTCTTATTTTGCTGAGTCTTCAAGCCAGTAAACCTCAGACGCTCTGCTTGGTGAAGATCTTCAAGATTGACTGTTCCTTCCGAGAGTAGAACCTGGTAATGGGATTCTGTGGTTTCGACACCTGAGCACCCGCCAGTCCTTGGGCCTCAGCGTTCAGGTTGTCACGTGACCGCTCGTACACCTTTGGTGCAGCGGCCTGTAGCACTAGCCCGGGTGTGGCTACCTCCTGAGAGCTGCAGGTGGCCTGGTTCTGGCGGTGAGCTTGTGTTGTTACTTGGATATTCCTCTTTCTTTGAAGTACAGGACAGAATCCCAGTTAATCAAAAGGTTTAAGAAATCCCCAGGCTGTGGGATTTCTCCAGGGGCTTTCAGACAACAGCAGACAGATCTGTGATGCCTTAGTGGGAGCTGGGCTCTTTCTGGGGACGTGTGTTCGCCATGTGTCCAGAGCCTTTAAAGAGCCACAGCTCCTGGCCTGCCGCGTGCTCCCACTGGTTCCACGGGACGTGGGGAATCCTGGAGCGTGGCACAGGTCCTGAGTAGGAACAGCTCTTCGGGAGTGGCTCCTTGTTCTGGCTCTCAGTGGGAGGTTCCGACGCTGCACCTGCTGGTACTCAGAGCCCTCTCAGTGTTACGTTCTTTGACTTGGAAAGAAGGATGTGGTGGGCTTCAGATTCCCATCCTTGCTGTAATCTGGAGAGATGAGCTTTACCCGAGGACAGATTATCCTCCTAGGATAAGGACATATCCATGGAGTGAATTTTATTGCCACCCCTCTGACACTTTGTTTCCATTTATGACTTCATAGGAGGTTGTCTCATTGCTAAGCAACTCATGAGAACTGCGGTGGTTGAGGTTGACACACAGGACCTGGTCTGAAGGCAGACCAGTCAACTAGGTGAACTGCTTCCCAGCACAGGAGAAGAAGGTTCATCTTCGGCAGGAGGCGGCCAGCATGTCAGAGTCAGAGGAACAGTTTGTAGTGGGGGAGCCATGCTCAAGCTGTGTGGAGGTGTGCTCAGGGGGTCAGGGTTCCATGGGTCTCCGTGGGTGCCAGGACATTGCCAGCCTGAGTCAGGAATACATGGTGTGCATCCCAGGTCTCCTCGTGGAGCTCGCCAGTATTTGGGAAGAGCAGTTTGGTCCTGCTGTTGATGGATGCAGAGTCTGTAAATGCATGTTTAGCGCATGCACTTGCACACACACATGCTATGCACACAGGTGTGCAGGCTTCTGCACACAGACACACACAACCACACAGAGACAAACCCGCTTGCACACTCCTCACTAGTGCTAACCTCAACCTCTCCAAGCATATGGGGAACAAATCTGTAACTAACCTTTGTTTGAGTGGCACCCACCAGTCTCGCTCAGTCCCTGGAGGAGCCTGTCATTAGAGAAAGAGGTCAAGCCATCTTTCATGACCTCGGAGGCAGGAGCAGCAGCATGCAAAGCGTGTGAAGATCATGAAGTCTAGTGAATACAGCCAGTTAGACATCACTGAAGCTTGGGGAGAAAACCCTACCAGTGAAAATGAAATGAGAGGGTATAATTTGATTGGAGAGATCGATCACGGAGAAGTTCTCTATGCCAGGAAGGTTTCGCAGCTCGTAAGTTTCGGAGGTTGAAGCCTTAGGGAGTGGGGAAGAAACTAGAGGCGCATAGTGATAAATTTGCTGAAGCTCGAGTGTGCCCGTTCCAGTTCAGAGCCGAACGTGGGTGCTTGTTGTTGCAGATTGCGTCCTTGACCCACGGGACGGGCAGAGTACGGAGGAGACTCCGGGTAGCACACTCGCTGGAGACGACACTCAGCTAGGAACAGGCAGAAGACCCACTTTTTAGTCTAATCTTTTGGAAGTGAAAGGAAACAGCAAGGCACATTGTACTTTGGACTTACTTCAGGCCATGGATGGAGGAAGGCAGGTCTAGGATGAGAATAACACAGGGTCCAGGGCATCTTAGAGTTTATAACAGCAAAGGAGCGACACCTGGTCTAGAGACACTGCGGGGCACAGGAGCGGGCCCAGACCAGAGGCCAGCAGAGGCAGGAGACTCGCTGAGGGAGGACAGGGCCTGAGAGGAGGCCCTGGTCCTGGATGTCAAATAGGCTGCCGTGAGGGCACCAAAGTGGCTTGATGTGAGCGGAGGGGAGTGTGAACAAGAAGGAAAAATCCAGTGGCCTCCTAGATTCCTGGCCCTGTGAGGGGTGTGGTGCCGTTTTCTAGGATGAGACGTGGAGTAGAAAGAGCAGGTGGAGGAGGCGGGATGGGGTTCTGATTTAGGATGTGCTGAGTGTGCTCTGTCGGCAGTGATCAAGTAGAAGAGTCTGTTGGGATCCGGGCCTTGGCAGGAGATCTGCAGTGGAGGTTAGTCTGGAAATTGTTGGTCCGGAAATGGCTGCCGACAGTCATGGCTGTGGGTGTGTGTGTCTGGGGAGAGTGGAGTGCAGCGGGTCACAGGATCCCGTGGCTCTCTGATGTGTCAGGGGTCTCCAAGGTGTGACTGTGACTCGAGCTGGCAGTGGGGCTGTCCCACAGGGAGGTTGATGGCGCTCTCCCATGCAGGAGTCTGGGCATTGAGAATCCAGGTGGCTCCTGCTGCTGAGGGCCGCCATCAGGATCTGTGAAGGATGCAGTGCCGCTCTGGGGTCTGACCGCCGGGGTCCACATCCAGGCGCTGCCCCTGAAGAGCTGCAGACAGCGTTGGTGCCTCAGTGATCTCTGCAATGGATGCAAAATGGAGATCATAATGGCACCAGTCTCTTTGGTTGGCGTGAAGACTGAGTGAGGCAAAACCAGCTTAGAGCCAGGTGTGGAACGCAGCAGGTGGTCATCGTACTGTCACTTTCCTTGTCGCTGCCTGTGACTTTCCTCTGCTTAAAATGGTAGCTGCGCCTCCGCTAGGTCCCTGTCCTAGGTTTGGAGAGAGGGAGATGGTGCAGGGTGCAGGGCGCAGGGCTGGGGCCAAAGCATGCATCAGCTGAGCCCATGTGTTTTCGGAAGCTTTCCCGGAATGCACACAACGATGTCCTCCATCGGCCACACCCTTGCCACCCACCAGCCACTGGGGGCCTGAAGAAGATGTGGGTGGAGACAGGAGGCAAGGAAGAGGGTGTGTGCGTGCGTGCAGGCTCCCAGACCAGTGTGTGCCCCCGGGAGAGCTATGGCGGTGTGGTAAGAAAATGGGGAAGAAGTGGTGTCAGAGGCAGGACAAAGGCCAGGCCTGAGGTATCACAGAAGTCAAGGGAGGGGACAACTTCAGGAAGGAGGGAGTGGTCAGCAGAGCCTACAGAGATGGAGACTGAAAATTGGTCAAAGCATTTGATAGTGGGGATCTCGCTAGCGACCTGCCAAAAATGGGCTGAAGAATGGTGGCAAGCAAACTGTCACGTCAGCTCCCCGCCCGCCCTCAGAAATGGGGGCCTGAATGTTTCTGTGCTAGGGGAAGATTGCACTCAGTGGACCACAGCCTCTTGCAACTTCATTTTAAATAATTTTTTATGATGGAAAGTTTCAAACACAAAGTCAACAAAATTGTCGGAAGAACCCGCGCGCCTGTCATCTGACTCCACAGCCACCAGCAGTCACCGTTCTCCTTCCTTCTGTCCCCCACCCACTCCCGACCTCCATCCAACTGCACTTACTACTGCTGTTTAAAAACAGCTTTATTGAGATTCAATTTAGAAACCATAACTTTTACCCACTTAGAGTGTAAAGTTGAAAGATTTTTAGAATATTTGGAGGAGTGTAACCATCAGCACATTTGATTTTAGAATATTTTCATCATCCCCAAAAGAAATCCCGTACCGGTTGGCAGTCCCTCCGCATCCTTCCCTCTTCTCCTATCCACTAGCCCCAGGGAGCCTCTCATCTGCGTTTTGTGTCTGTGGATTTGCCTCTCTGGACGTTTCATGTGAGTGGAATTATATGTGCCTGGCTTCCTCCACTCAGCCTGATGCTTTCAAGGTTCATCCACGCAGTGTGAATCAGTACTTCCTTCATTCTGTAGCCGGGTAACGGCCCCTGGTGTGGACGCAGCACGTGTGTTTTCCACTCATCCGTCGATGGACATGCGGATTGTTTTCACTTTTTGACCAGTATCGTTTCCATTTTTGACTACTATTTTGACAGGAATAACATTGCTGTGAGTATTCATGTGTGAGTTTTCGTGTAGATGTGTGTTTCCATTTATCTTGGTATGTAACTGGGAGGGAGAATTGCTGGGTCACGTGGTGACTCTGTTTAACCTTTTGAGTTGCCTTTTGTTTGCCGGACTGCTTTCCACGTGGCGGCACCATTTTCCCTGCCCACAGCAGTGTGGGAGGAGCGTGTGTTTCCTCTTCCCGCAGGAGCGTGTCCACGTCCTGTTGTGGTGTGGGAGGAGCGTGTGTTTCCTCTTCGCGCAGGAGCGTGTCCACGTCCTGGTGCGCTGTGGGAGGAGCGTGTGTTTCCTCTTCGCGCAGGAGCGTGTCCACGTCCTGGTGCGGTGTGGGAGGAGCGTGTGTTTCTCTTCCCATAGGTGCGTGTCCACGTCCTGGTGCGGTGTGGGAGGAGCGTAGTTCCTCTTCCCGC